ATCGAATGTTCATAGCTGGAAGATCTCTGACAGTGGAAGGTATCTCTCCTTGTAAACTGATGCTGCATTGAGAAGTAAAACATCACCATAAGTAAAGTTATAAAACTCTCTGTAATTCTCCTATAGCCTAGGTTTTAGTCTACAACATCAAATCCAAAAGCACTGTATTGAATGTCTTTATTTAAACAAGATTGTGTACATTTAGGATACTGAAAAAACACCTATATTGGAAAAATAATTTCATGTATTCTTTTGTGTATTTTTGAGCAATTTAGGATTATCTTAAAATTCTGAAATTAAAGAACTATATAAAATATATATTTTACAACCTCATAGGTATTAGTTAAGGGGTCAAGGAAATATGTAGCTCAATAATAGTGTTTGCTTGCACACTGAAGCCTTGGACTTGGTCCCTAGCACAAAATAATAACAACAGCAATAATAATAATAGAGTAAGCACTACGAACTGAACACTATGTTGGTAATCAAGAGGATAATGAGACTGTACAATTTAGACTTGAATCTTTTTAAAGAAAAACATTCAAACTGGTTTTCATTCTTTTTCCTGGTCATGTAAAAACTATTTTCACAGCTACTGGCTATCAATTAAAAAATAACAAAATGCATATACATTATCCATCTACTTGCACATTTTCCTCTCATGTCTAAGGGTATCTTAGAAATGTCGAGGTTCAAACTTGAGTGTTGGCAGGATATGCTGTTTAGCTTTTCTCCACACTTTAGGCTGTTCATTTAAGTTGTTCTACCACTGGAAACTTACGTACAAATGTTTCTCTGACATCCTTGGCATTTCAAAGGATGCTCCCACTAAACAAGAATTCAAACTATTTCTTTTTTGACATATAATAATTGTACACTCTTATGGGGTACAGTGTGATAATTCAACACATGCATACAATGAGTAATAATCAAGTCAGCATAATTGACATTTCCTTCTCAGACATCATTTCCTTATGTTAAGTTTTACATCATTTTTTAAATGAGTCACATGTATGCTTGTCTGTCTGTCTGTCTGTCTGTCTGTCTGTCTGTCTGAGTATACCTACATGTGTGCTGGGAATCAAACCCAGTCCTCACATTCATATATGCTAGGTCATGAGCCATATCCCCAGCTGGGGAGCCTCCTAATTCTGATGGTTCCAAACAGAAAAGCTTAAAATGTAAAATAGGAAAGCAAAACAAGAAGACAAGAGATACTGAAAATAGCTTTTCACTTAAACTGTTAGAAATATCGCCCTTATAATGCTGGTTATATCTTGTCTCTTCATTTGGGATGCACTCTCAATAGGAGATTTACCTCTCCCAGCTGGCTTTCATCTGCATGAGGTACACAATCAATTCTACAGAAGAAAGCAAATGAAGTCACTTGTTTATGTGAACAACAGTGTCCGACTTCCTTTTCAGACTGTTCTTCCTGTGTCATGAGCAGACACAGCTTCTTCCAGTGAAACCACAGCCACCATCCATGTGTTCAGCTTATTGATGCGTTGAGTAGACTCCCATGTATCTACTTGAGCATCTTATTTCAGCCATCATCTCAGTGATGGGCAAGTTTTGCAAACTCTATCAACTGTTTCAGAGCCTCGTCATTTAAAAAAAAGGAGTCAACTTTAAGAGATCTTGATTGTCTCTCATTTCTTACAAACAAAACCAAACAAAACAGAAATGCTCTCTTTATTTCCCTAACATTAAGGAATCTCAGTATCTTTTTGTAAAGAACTCTGAATAATTCAACTGGAACCCAGGAGTCTGCTGGGAGTTTTCATTCTAAGACTAGACTGTGTCCTAGACTTTGAATTTAGGTATTTCCTTCTTTTGCATCAGTGCTTGGTTAAAATACGTATTTCTAAAACTTTAGACAAAGAAATTGGGTTCTCCTCCAATGTTTTCTATTCACCTACCTCAGATAGAAAACCACAAATGACACTGAACTGATTCACTATTGAGTCACCAAATAAGGATCTCTTTTTCTCCCAAATAACTTTTTTTTTTAAGACAACGTCTCACTCTGTAATTCAGACTGGCCTTGAACTCACTATGTAGCCCAGGCTGGCCTCAAATTCACAGCAATCCTCCTGTCTCAGCCTCCTGGTTGCTGGAATTATAGGAGTACACCACCACACCCAGCCCAAATAACTTTCAAATGCACTCACTCTCCATCCAGGTACTACTAACCAGAGCCAGATAACTTTTGACTTAAACTCTGTATTGATGAAATATGTGTCTAAGTAGTTGTCACATTCTTGTCTTTCACCAAGGTATGCTCAAAATTCAATTTTATCTTAATTTTGAGATGTGACTATTTGACTCTTTTACTTACAAAACAGTGTAGTATCTTCTCTGTCATTGGGATATCTAAATTTTTTATTTGTACTGGGAATTAAACCCAAAGTCTTTGCACTGAGCTACATCCTCAGTCTTTTTTTCCTTTTCATTTGAGACAGGGTTTCACTAAGTCACTAAATTGCCCAGGTTAGACTCAAACTTGAGATCCTCCTGCATCTGCCTTTTAGAGTGTGGAACTATAGGCATGTACCACCATGCTCCACAACAAATAAAACATCTAAATTCTTCAACGTGACTTACAAGCCTCCATAGTTGATCATCTTTCCATCTGCCTTTCTAAGCCTTACGGTCATCATGAGCTTTTTTTTCACAGCAGACTACCACGGCTCTGTATCTCACAACCTCAACCCTTGTGCATGGTTGATTGTTCTGCCCAACACAGGGTTCTACATATTTGTTTATTTTCTACTGTTAAGCAAATAGGTACAAGGAAATATGTCAATGATGAAACCACGTACTTTTTTCCTGTTCCTTGAGATTAAGCTGTACCATGGAAACAGTCATAAAACATAGGAAATGACCTTCAGGGCATGGTAAACTACCATGGGACCAAATGTCAGTATAGCTACACTTAATTGAGGAGTCAGAGGCAGGAATGGTAGTGGACCCCTGTAACCCCAGCATCCTGGTGGCGGAGGCAAGAGAATCACAAGTTTGAGCCCAGACTAGGCAGCTTAGTGACTTAGGAACACCTTGGCTCAAGATTTTTAAAAATGACATCTAAATGGGGCTACGGATGTTGCTCAAGCAGAAGGCCCTAGGTCAACCTCCAGTACCAAAAGAAACATTGTCTCGAGTAGATGGAGTCTCACTGAGAAAGTGCCAAAATCTAAAAGAAGCTAAAATTTAATGATTGACAGGTATTAGCTGAAGTACTAGAATGGGGAGGAGGTTTGGGGAGTGATAGCACGATGTTCTGATGATACAGTTAAATGAAAAATATGATAGTATGAAGAAAAGAAATATACTTTGGTGGGGGATATACAACTTTACGGAATATATTTTGTTGGTGACCTGTGTTGCCAAGCACAATAAAAAGTAAAGTCCTAATTACCTTTGTGGACAGCTAAGTTAAGATGATTCCTCCTTTCAGAGGTGTTATTAAATCTTAGTAATGTCTTCCTTGCAATTATAAGGGAAGAGTGAAAAGGTATCATGAATGAGAGAGAGTTTACAGATCCTGAAATTGCTTCTTTCCTGATATTTGTTTATGACCTTGAAAAAATGGTTTACATCTTGTACTTACACCTTGCTATTGGTAAAAGGGATGACAATATTAACTACTTTATGTCACAGCCAATGAAACAGTGGTACAAAAGTGTAAAGTGCTACACTGTGCTTAGTGACTTTTTAACGTAAGTGTTTCAAACATAATAAACACTTCATTAATTTCTGACAGTTCTCCATCAGCTGCAATCCAAAGCATTTTTCTTGGAGTTTCATTTCTAATTATACAAGTAGACAGCCATCCTCATTACCCTTTAAGTGGAGGAAAATTAAATCATATCACATTTCAAAAGATCCAATTATTCAAAATAAAAATATTTTTAAGCAGAAACTAAAGAAACCTATTTAACTTGTAATAGTCAAAAAACTAAAATTCTTCTAGTTTTATGATCGAACTAATCTATCAGTTCTTTCTTACACTGTATTTAAACTTACTACCTGATTTTCAAGTTGTGAATTTACTGAAAATACAGCAATGAAAGTTCTTAGTTCTTAAGTACACAGAAATTTCACTTCCATATGGTAGAGGCTATACTTCAGAATACATCTTTAAAGTTATAAAAACTGAGAACTTAAAAAAACTAAATAAATTTTTAAAAATACAAAAACAAAATTTAAGAACTTACATTTTATAAAGCTGTCTAGTTTCATATTATGTTCTTATATGATGAGGAAGACCCATGAATACAACAACATCATTAGTTTTGGTTTACTTTGTCACAAAACCTACTCATCCCTGAAAGCATCTTACAGCTGAATACATAAATGTTAAGTATCTCTGTCAAAAAAAAATCTCTGCATACGTTTCTATAGTCCTAAGTAGGCCAAATTATACCGATTCCTCATTCACAGTAAAAGAAAAGTTCACTCTAAAATATTTTATAAATATTGAGCATTGTACAATGCTACTTTACTCTTCTCTCTGTTTATAGTCTCATGTTTTCCTTTGGTAAGCAGTTGGATTTTAAAATATAGGTGTTAAATGTTTCTGATTTTTTTTTTGTAGTGGGGATTGAACTCATAACCTTGAACTTTCCAGGCAAGCTCTTGAGTCACTGAGCTAAATCCCCAATCCCAGATTTCTAATTTTTAAGTCCTATTTTACAATCTTGTTTGAAACTTTTTACTACGTATTTCAGATCCCTTAAAGAAAGTTTGATAATTTGATGTATTAAATATTTCTGTGTTCTTTGTCAGAAAATTTAAAGGCCATTTAAAAGAAGGAAATAATTCATGGAAATAAATAATTCAAAGAAATAAATTAATGAGAGAGGTCTTACAGAAATGTGTATTTAAGAATCCACTTAGTTCATGACAAATTTCATTCCATTCTGTTAGCATATATTTGAAGGAAACAGTGTTCACAAAATTTTGCAGTCAAAAGATGGGTGTGCACTTTTTTCTACCTTTCATGCATTACAGAGGCCTTTGCAAGAGTTCAGCAATGAGGCGTTCAAGACAACTCTGTCACCTTCTCTACACATGGCTCAATGTCAAGCTTGTCATCTGTAAATGGAAGTAACGATAGCTTTCTTTTAAAGTTGCTCAGAGCAGTAAGAGACATTAAATATATGAAAAGATAGCATTAATCAGAAAGGCTCTACAAAAATAAATGATAAAATTTACAAAAACTCAAAGATTCCACTGAGATTCTATAAAACAATTTAACATGCATTTTCTCTTCTTAGTCTTGCTTCCTTTTGATATGATTATGTGCTAAATCCTTCTTTAGGCGATAAGCTCTTTAAAGCCATACTGAGCACATTGCATCTTTTTTCTGTTGCTCTTTGGATTAGAATTAACTAATGGACACTCAAGGGCTTTGTGGACAGTTAGATCCTCAGTGCTATTGTGGGGTAAGTAATCAGAGCTGTTTAAAAATAAAAATAAAAGTAATCAAATCTATTTTTACCTATTCTATATCTCAACTCTTCTATGGCCCATACTTATTTTCACATATTTTAACTTCAAAGCTCACGGAAGCTTAGCAGGCTAGCATCTACTTAACAAAAGCCTTTATCACTCCTACCAAACACTCTTCAGCTGCAAGCCCTTGGTTCTCAATCTAAAACTGTTTCCCTTATAACCTAAAACAAGCCGAAATAACCACATCCTTAGCTCCAGAAAGAAAAGTGTGATCACAGGCCCACTCAAGATTCCTACAGCTAAGAAGTTCCCCCAAGAAAGCCCATCCTTGGCTGATCAAGGGAGAGCAGTCAAGAACATCAACATGAGATGGGCAGGGGAGAAGGACATCAGAATCAAAAGAAAGTGAAAGTAAGGGTTCCCAGGGCACCCACATCCTTCACAAAACTGACAGGATCTCTAGTCTGTGCCCCTGCTGGAACCGCAGTCTGTTTAGCCGACAAATCGGCCTCAGCTTCGTATACAACACTTAAAACCGGAAGAAATAGTGAAGAAGGGATGGCTCCCTCTCGGGCCCTTTCCTTCCCTGTGTAAAAGTGCCTCAGTCTGCCCTCTGTTAAAAGCAGCTCTGATTCATTTTTGCGAGGTTTTTAACAAACGGCCCCAGTCCAGGGGACCTTTCCGGTTTAGAGACGAATAGTGTCGGCCCAGTCCACTTCTCCTGTCTTTACGGATAGGCTGTGGCTCTCACTAACGAGCCCTGGCAAAGCTCTCCCAGTCCCCAGGCTCGGGGTACACGCGTGTGTCCGCAGCCAGCTCCGGCGCGCCCTGCGTTTTCAGCACCACCGCCACTGGAGAGCGCCTTTGTGGCGCGCCGGTCTGGGCCTCCCATCCGGCTTCCTGTGCAGCCCCCGCGCACTCTCTCTCTCTCCATCTCTTTTTCCTGAGTCCCAGGAAAAAACACATTCCAACTTCAAACTTCTCAATCCCTGCTTCTAAAGTGACCTCCGCGTCCGTCCCTCGGAGTCCAAACACTCCCATCCCCGCTCCTTTGGGTGGCACTGGAGCAGCAGCTGAGCCGCGTGGTTTCTCCACCAGTGGCTCCGGGTCTCCATCACCTTCGCCTCTGCTGGACCTTCTGCCAGCGGCCAGAAGCGCCGGCTCGCTGGCTGTCGCTCTCCAGAGCTCTACACGCCCCAAAGCCTCCAAGAAACAAACTCGCGGTGCTGCGCCTCCGCCTCACTGCACACGCGCGCGCACACACATTCGTACACACTCGCGCGCCGCAAGCCTTCCCGGTGCCGTCGTCGCCCTGGACGCAGGCTCGGCCAACTTGGGCCCGGATCCGTGAGCACCGGCTCCCAAGGGCCTCCTGCCGCGGCCGCCCGCACCCTCCCCTGCCTGGGCAGCAGGTCCCCGCGCCGAAGCTCGGCAGCCCGGGGCCCCCTCCTGTCCACTCGAGCATCCACCTCGCGCGGGCCAGTCTCGATCTGCAAGCCCTCAACATTCGCTCTGGGCCGCCTGGATTCCTCTCCCCGAAGCCCGGTGCCCGTCACCGCTGACTCGTGTGCCAGGGTGTTTGCGCCTCCCAGGCGTATTTAACTCCTTTGCGCTCTCGGTCCATCCCGAGCACACAGCACGTTACCTCCAACCCCCTCCTCGCTTCCCTGCACCCCGACCTCGGTCCCCATCCCGATCCCTGCCGCCAAGTAGTCAAAACCCCGCGCCTCGGCACCGGGTTCTGGAACTGAGAACCCGGCTCCGGGGTCCCGCCCCGCCCCCACCCCGGCCCCCCGCGAGGCGGGCTGCCGGCCGGCGACGCCGCGGAAACGCAGTCTGCGTCCCCTCCGCTCCGGGAGCCGCGCACGGAGCGGCCGACTCGCCGGGGGAGCGGCCCGCGCACCCTCCGCAGGGGCACACGCCTTCCTGCTCAGCCGCCCTGGAAAGCACGGGTGCCAGGGTGGGCGGGAGGACTCACCGAACATCTGAATGTGCCCTTTGGTGATGGGGTTGAAGCTGCCGCAGGCCAGCAGGATAACGTGCGTCTTAGTGGTCTCCGTCATGGTCCGGGTGGGCCCTCGGGTGGTCCGGGGGTTGCCTCTCTTTTTGTGTCTCGATATGTCTGCAGAGGGAGAAAGGAAGGCGAGGCTCGGCGCTGGATGATGTGGACTCTAAGGAGCCGCTCCAGACGCAAACGCGTCACTCCCCGCCTCCCCTTAACGCTTGCAGCGCCGGCCGGAGCCGAGGCTGCTTTGTACTGCTCTGCTCTCGTCTCTTCTCGGTCCTCCTCTGTTCTAGCTTCTTTCGTGTTTCTGGTCCTCGTGACCCACCCTACCCTTTCTCGCTCCCCCATCACCCCACTTTACTACATCACTTTTCTTTCTCTGAGTTTATCCTCCAAGGCAGATCGTGGTACCCACACCCAGCACCATGGATATATACACAGCATGGTGCAAACTCTACCCTTCCTTTCTTCTGATTTCTCTTCTCTGCCCTGCTGTCTTTGTCTAGCATCTCTAACTCCAAATACGTTTGATACGAATTTTCTGTCTCACTTCAAAATTTTAAGTGATAAATGACAATCGTCTTCATTCCCTCCCCCCCTCCATAATTGTGAACTACTAATGAGCTAAATCCAAATCTTGACCCAGGGGTTTCCAAGAAATAAGGAAAGGAAATAACCCGTCCTCTGCTATATTGGCCCACTGCATGGGTTGGAGGAATGTTATCAGTTGAGAGAATATAGACGGAAGAGAAGAGTTACTAAAACTACTGTTTTAGTGCTACAAATGCTAACAAGTTAAGACAAAGATCATTTGACAAATGTTTTTTGCTTATTTTTTTTTGTTGTTGTTTTGTTTTTTTTTTTGTTTTTTTTTTTTTTTTTTTTTTTTTTTTTTTTGGTACTGGGGATCAAACTCACGACTTTGTGCTTGCCAGGCAGGTGCTTAGGCCACTGAGCTAAATCCCTGGCCCTTGACAAGTGTTTTTTGAGCATTCCCTATGTATAACATGATGTTATAAACCCTGCTGATAATGCAAGGCCTGTGTCTTTATCAAGTTTAAATTTTACCGAGGAGAAAGAGACAATAAACAGAGAAAGAAACTTAAGACAGTAATAGTGCCATGCCCAATAGGTGAATGCAGTTCACTCTGAGAAAACAGAGAGTGGACAAGAGAGGAAAATCGGGTGGTCTAAGAAGGCTTCTTTAGAAAGATGACGTCTGAAGTGAGACCATTTGGACCAGAAGGAATTGCTAGTACAATATCCTGGGGACAGAGAAGGGCTTTCCATGCTCACAGAAATGAGAGGCAAGAGGAAAAGGGGAGGAAAGAAGATTGTCTGATGATTACAGCCAAATCAAATAGGGCCTAAAGGCGAGGGTAATGGGTCAGACATTTTTCTGAGTAGAATCATTTATAATGGAATAACAAAAGGAAGCTTTTAAGGAAGGAAACATATGTAATTTATATTACATATTAAATGGATACAAATGGGAGATTTAGGGAGTTCTGCTTGTAGCCTGGCAAGTAGACTCACCCTGAGACTAGAGTTTCATAGAGGCAGAAGTGATGAGAGGTACATGGTCCCAGAATAAATTTTGTAGATTCTGTAGTTTATAGGATTTGCAGATGAATATGAAGGACAAGATATCTAAGAAAATGTCTAAAGATTTAGGTTAGGCAAATGAACAAGCTGAGACTCATACAGAGAGGGGAAGAAAAAGTTTGAAGGATGCTCATTCTATTGTGACACAATAAATGGAGTCAATTAACTTGGAGATTCAAAAATATGATGAATTACCTTTCTTGGGTTTCAAGTTTCTTGAATAAAGTTCTATCCCCATGGTAATGAGCCCTTATTTCTTATCCAAGAGCACATAATAGATGTGCAGTTTGTTAAATGTCGCTGAATAGTAAATTGATCTTAATATACATAAAATTTCTAACTTAAATACAGAGTCTTAAGAACTATTGTAGGTTTGGGGCTGGAGATTTAGCTCAGCGGCATAAGCGCCTGCCTTGCAAGCAGGCAGTCATGAGTTCGATCCCCGGTACCGATAAAAAGGAAAAAGACAAAAAAAAAAAAAAAAAAAAAAGAACTATTGTAGGTTCATAATGCAATCTGTATCCTCCCCTCAGGTACTGGGATAGAAGGAGCAAGAGATTTTATTATTTGAGCAATTAACATAAGTATAGTTCAGCAATAACTATTTATTGAATCTATCCCACCCACCAAACACTAATTTAGGAACTGTGAATATTTGACAAATGTTTTTTGCATTTTGCAAAGTGAGGGAACGTGTCCTGTGAATATCTGGAGATGAGTACACCAGGCCAATGGCATTTACAATGGGTCTGAGAAGCAAGGCTGGTTGCAGCTGTTCAACAATCAACCCCAAGATGACTGAAGAAAAAAAATAACGTGGAAAGATCTAAGAGACAAATCAGAAAGATAGGACAGATTATGTAGGGCCTCATGTACCCTGGGTAGGACTCTGGCTCTTTTGCTGAGAAAGAAAGTTACTGAAATGATTCTGAGTAAGAAACTGACATGAGCTGACATGCTTGGAAAGTACCAGGATGGCAGAAGCAACAAATGTTGGAGTCATGGGTATGCCTTGTTCTTAGTCATGAGATTGAGTGAGATCACCTAGGAAAGACCAGATATGCAGAGCACAGCCCCTCTGGGACACACACAACAACAATAGTAGTTCACATTTGCTGGATAATATTTCAAGCTCTGGCATGACAAACTGTTTAACTGGATTTTGTGTGTTTGTTTTGTACTAGGGATCACACTCATGACCTCAAGCTTGCCAGGCAGGCACTCGTTTGGCTGAGCTAAATCCCCAGCATTGTTTAACTTCTTTCGTATTAACAATAACTATATGAATTTATATGCCTTCCCATTTTAGAGATGAACATAGAAGGATGCAGAAAAATTAAGAAACTTTTCCACAGCTGGTACTTACAGAGCCAGAGTCAAGCTCTGGTAGGTTTGATGGAAAGCCTTGCTCTGGATCCAAGCCTACTCCATCTTGCTTTATCTGCACACTGTAATCACCTCATTTGAAAAAATGAGGATAACTATCTGTCAAGCCACAGGGATGTTGGAGAGTAGAGGTGAGGAGGGTGGAACACCGAGCACAAAGCGGATGGTCTAGGATGGGCTGTTTTAGCAGAGGTTGAGGAATAGACTAAAAATTGCCTCCCAGGTGCTATGTTCTGGGTGGCTGTCCCTCCAAAATTCATGTGTTGAAACAGTCTCCAGAGAAAAAGTATTAAGAGGTAGGGTCTTTGGAAGGTGATTGTGGGTAGAGCTCTCATGAGTGGGATTAGTCTTCTTATTTTTTTAAATAAAAGATCCCAGAAAGCAAGTGGTCTCTTCTACCATGTAAGACAAAGCAAGAAGACACCACCTGTGAACCAAGGAGAGGCCTTTGCTAAGCATCACATCTGTTGGCACTCTACTTTGCACTGCCAGCTTGAAGAATGGTGAGAAATGAGTTTCTGTCATGCATAAGCTAGACAGTCTGTGGCATTTTGTTATGGCAGCCAGAATAGACTAAAGGGCAGCTCTTCGGGTTTCCCCTTCTTCTTTGTCCAGGAAAAACATGGGCAGCAGTATCCAGTGGAATATGTGGGTTTGATTGGACTTTCAGTTAACTCTTCAAGTTCATTTTAATAAAAAGAAAAAATTCAACTCAAATTCCTGTGCAAAAGAGTGATAAGTAAACACTGATGAATTAAACACAAAAATTTTACTCGCCCAGTGCCCAGGGAATAACAATGAGATAAAGATTAGTAACATGACACAGTAAAAATATTTTCAGCTTATAGATTCTATCTGTTTTGTTTTCTTTTTGTCTTTTTGACACAGAATTTCTCTATGCAATTCAGGCTGGCCTTGAACTCACTTTGTAGCCCAGGCTGGCTTCAAACTCATAGTGATTCTCCTGCCTCAGCCTCCCCAAGTGCTGGGATTACAGTCATCTGCCACCACATCTGGCCTGTAGGTTATTAAATCTTAAGTAATAATTTAAATTCTAAAATCAGAGTGTGATCTGAATAGTCTTTTGCAGGTTTCATGATTGTTATTACTAATTCATGTATACCTAAGAGGGCTTTGGAATTAGAGTATAAAAATGTGGAAAATATGACCTGGTTCAATCAGCTGCCAAATGTGTAGCTTTGGGCAAGTCCTTTATTGTTAAATATTTTGTCACCTGGAGCCAAGTCTACCTCTAAGTTAAATATATATATGGAGCATTTAAATATATACATACAGATGTGAAACATTTTAGGAAATTGCCTAGATTCTGGCAGATAATGCACACTTTAAAAAATCAGCTATAACTATTTTCCATAAAGTGGGGGAGTGCTGTAGTACACATCCTGTCTGCTCTGCAAGGTTGCTATATGGATCAAGCAAGTAAGTAAATGAGATTTTCTTAAGAAGGCAGCTTTAGGTCAAACTGTACAGTCACTAGTTATAAAACATCTTTTCTTAGTGTTTAATTGTTTCTATTGATGGGTTTGTCAAAGACATTTCTGGAAATACGAATCTATGAGGGTAATGACTTTGGAGATGTGTGAGTAGCCTGTATATCAAGTCAGGGGAAAAAACCCAGAAGTGTGCTAACAATGAATTTATCTGTAGTGAAGGTTCCAATTCTTGTTCATAAGATATAGAAATAGGCACTTCAACGGTTGCATAATACATGTATCTTAATATATATATATATATATATATATATATATATATATATATATACAGTGATCTATTCTGAGGGATGCTTATTTTAACTTAGGTGATATAATTTGGTCCAATATTTCAACTTTCTGACAGCTGGAAATTGTTTTAGGTCGAAGAGAAGGACCCAGAGTCCCCCTCCTGCTGCCTAACCCTTGCAGTCTGTTCCAGACAGGTTGTTGCGTAAGGACTCAAGGTAGACAGTCTAACCAGAACTCTCCTAACTGTGTGTACTTGGTCTGATGGGGTAGGCTCCAGTGTCAATTGGGTCTGATTTTAAATGTGCTTTTGTAAATATGCATATGTAAAGACTAGGTATGTTTTCTCTCTTATCTCTTTATTTACCTCATGAAGATTACTCATTTTTTTATCACAAATTGGGAAATAACATTTCATGTTTATGAAGCTGATGTCCAAA